TGTTTTCTGTCTCCATGGATTTGCCTTTCCTGGATATTTCACATAAATGGAATTAAGCAATATGTAGTCTTTTGTGCCCACCTTTTTTCATTTACCATTATGTTCTTGAGGCTCACCCATGCTGCAACACCGTAGTTTGTTCCTTTTTATTGCTGAATGGTATTCCCTTATATGGATATAACATATTTTCTTTCTCCATTTAACAGTTGATGGACATATGAATTGTTTCCATTTTTTTGCTATTTGATTAATGCTGCTTCGAACATTCATATACAAGTTTTTTGTGGACATATGTTTTTACTTCTCTTGAGTGTATACCTACGAATAGAATTATTGGGTCATGTCAACTTGATGTTTAGCCTTCTGATGATCTGTCAGATTGTTTTCCAAAGTCAGATTGTTACCAGCAGTGTATGAGGGTTCCAATGTCTCCACATCCTTGCTAACAGTTGTTATTATCTATTTTTTTGACTAGCCATTGTAGTGGTATGAACTAGTATTTCACTGTGGTTTTGATTTGCATTTCCCTGATGGCTAATGATGTTGAGCGTCTTTTCAGGTGCTTATGGCCATTTGTATATCTGCTTTGGAAAAATGTCTCTTCAGATTCTTTGACCATAACCTAAATTGGGTTATTTGTCTTTTTTTTTTTTATCAAATTATGAGTTTTTGATTGATTGATTTTTTTCACCCATTCCCCAATTCTCTCCCATTTGGTAACCATCAGCTTGTTCTCTATATCTGTGGGTCTGTTTCTGTTTTTTTTTTATTATTATTATTATTTTTTATTAAATTCCACATATAAGTGAAATCATAACTGGTATTTATCTTTGTCTGACTTATTTCAATTGCCACAATACCCTCTAAGTCCAACTATGTCGTCGCAAATGGCAAGATTTCATTCTTTTTTATTGCTGAGTATTATTCATATATTGGTATATATGTACAATGGAATATTACTCAGCAATAAAAGGAGTTAGGAGTTTTTAAATATATATTCTAGATACAAGTCCCTTATCAGATATATGATTTGCAGATAATTTCTCCCATTGGTTGCTTGTCTTTTCATGTTAATGGAGTCTTTGGAGACAAACAAGTTTTTAATTTTAATGAAGTCCAGTTTATCATTTTTTTTCTTTTATATATTGTGTTTTTGGTGGCATATCTAAGAACGCTTTGCCTAACCCCAGTGTTGAGGATTTTTGCCTGTGTTTTCTTCTAGAATTTTTATAGGTTTAGCTTTTATGTTTGTCTATGATCTATTTTGAATTAATATTTGTGTAAAATGTGAGGAAGTATTTAAATTCATCTTTTTGCACAAAGATATACAGTC